ACTTTTTCGCATAGAAAAAAAGTGTATTTTTTGAATAATGTGCACGTGTGTTAGTATTGCATCTAGTTTTGAATGGCTAATTCTTATTATCCCTCTCAGGCACCCTAATTCAGGCATGCTTAGGAGCAGTCACCATGTCTCCCCTATAATAATCGCACCCATAACAGACAGTCAACTCCACACATCTACACATTGTTTCTGCAATATAACACATGAAAAATCCTCAGTAATATCCCGAAAATGTTTAAAACAAACGTAATATCAGCGTCGAATGTATCGCGTTATCGTAAAAGACGCGTCATAATTCGCACGTGTTACAAGGCAATAAAGGGAAAAATTTCGTAATATCGGCAAACCTCGAAAAAGCGGCGGTTCCTGGGAAGCTGAGGATGGTGGAAGAAGAGCAATCTTATCTAAACGGGACACCGGATGCGTCTAATGGCCGCACATAAATCCAATAAGGTTTTTCTCGGGTGCTACTGCGGAAAACTTCTACCAATAGCAGACACGTATCTGTCCTGTATGCAACAATAGGGTGCTTCCATATTTTTCATAAAAGGGACGTTATAGATGTGTTAAATGCAGAATATTTCTCAAACGATGGGCACATATTTAAAAGCTTATTTCCTGAGATATTCTTATGTTTGATGATTTTTGAATAGCCGATTTGTACTTACTAGTTCCATATCTGAGTAAAAAGGACAAAGAGTATGAATGTACAGGTATACAAGAAAACTGTGGAGAAAAGTAATAAAAATGATGACTTTGCCGATTTAAAGTCGCACTAGCAGTAGCGTAAGATGTCTACTACTTTCTTCCGTTTTGGTGGCCAAGTAAAAGTAGCATGCTTCGTATGAAAATCCAATAGGTGATTTCTGAATAAATTGCGTTCAAACAGACGCGGTGAGAAGCTTTATAATGTCTCGATGCTGTAGAAAACATTTCTACCATCTTCACTTTTGAGAAGAAATATATGGGGAAATCTATTTGTATGATAAAATTTGCATAAAATTACCAGGGTCCACTCTTATCACCCCCACGTCTAATTTCTTACTCCTTAAAACAATTTCAGCTCGGTCCCAGGCAATAGCAAAAGCGCGGTTGAAGCGTTTTTCAGTGTTTTCTTTTTTTGTCCATAGCTCCGTCATATGCCATGGGACGGAAGTGGCCTTTGCTTATCATGCTGTGTTTTCAGTTCGAATCTAGTCGTGACTTTTTTAGTTATGCCATCTTGCCCAATGTATTTCTGTGAAAAATATCTTTTAAAAATGCAAGTAAATTGCCCCTTAAACAAAAATATCACTTTTACTGAAAACGTGAGCAAACTACAGACCATTCTACGTGATTAATTAAGTGTACCCTTGCCGGTATTTGCTCAAAGTTACCCCTCCTTAAGTTGTCTCACGCTTGAAAAGAATGTTCAATTAAGAACTTTTTAATTTGTCTTTTCGTTACGCGTCATTCGAGCGGTAGGTATTCCCTTCTTAAACTCCTTTAATTAAGGATCAACTTCAACAACTAGATATATCTTGCCAGACTCATCTGCGTTACAGTGACGTTACTTCAGCAGGGTTATTACCTGTGGTTATTACGTAAAAAACCTCTATAATGTCGAAAAAATCGGTAAAATGTCTACTTGTGCACTAGGTAGCCGCTAGTTCATTGGTTCATTCCGCACCTAATAGAAGTGAGCACGAAGTGTATGTCAGCTAGTTCAAAGGTGACATTGTATAGGAATACCCAGATAATGTCAAAAAACCTACATAATGTTAAAAAGAAATACATACTGTCATAAAAATCGATATAATGACTCTCTCCCACGCCTCCTTTTCATTATGAAGATCAAGTCACTCACTCCCGTCAGTCTTCCTATTGGCAATTTTGTCACGGAGTATGTTCAGTAATCACTGCAGCGATGTTAATGGAAGAGGAGATGTAGTAGATAATGCCAGTTTATGGCATCATTTCCTTTCCATTAAAAACGTTGCAATGGTGGCTGAAGCTGCACAGTGACAAAATGGCCAATAGACGGAATGATTAAAGTGAGCAACTAGCATTTTCATGGTGCATACATACATTATAAAATATTCGAAAATATTATATTTTCCATACTTACGCGTCCAGGAAAGAAATAGATTCAACCTAAAATGGTGTTCTTGAACATGTAGCTAAAATCTAGTATTTTCCCACGATTTTTTTCTGTGACGGGAAAAACGACGATTTATTATCGAAAAATTATATTATTACAATATTTAAGTTATTTATCTATTATATTATCGAAGTGAAATTAGTAGACTATGTTGTACTTATAGCGACAATTAGACCTGCTTTGCCAAGGAAACTTTTAAAGTAATCAAATAGCTGTCAATTCAATTTTGTGATTTGATTTAAAAATTGTGAACTTAGTGGTTGTTTAGAAGTTATTTTTAATACTATAAAGTAAAAAATGTGATTCCGAGTTTTCTTTGACTCCACCGGAATTAGTAAAAGTAGCCAAAGTCTCATCACAAAAATGATTAGCTAGCAATCGCGGAAAATTTACGAAACCGCGTATTCAAGATTCATGGAATGGAAGAAGAGAAAAAACATACAGTTCGTTGTCGGAGACGGTGTTATTGGCTTATTTTTGAAATTGGCACAACAACAAAAGCCATCAGTATCCGGGAAAAAGGTAGGTAGTCATTTTTTTCCCTGGGGAAAAAGTTATTTCATAAAAAGTGACATTTTGTTACCTGTCAACAAAGATAAAATGTCAAAATTTTTTCCCGTCACAGAAAAAAAAACACTTTATTCTTCACTTACTAAACCTGAACCATGTATTAGTTTTAAAAAATATAAAATACGTAAAAGACTATTTTGAAAGCACTTTCTTTGTACTGTTAAGCATCACTTGCCTTCACGTTCATAACTCGTAGTTCAAAATTGTTAAAAAAATAATTTCCAAAACCTCTGGGGAAATTTGCTACGCTCTTCAAAAACTTGTGTTGCAAGTATCCACACTTTCACTAAAAGGTATCTCTTGCCGATGATCGGCCTTCCCTGAGAAACATTCCTGCGGGCGCCCGTGGCCAAAGCTGGCAGATGTAGATAGAAGATACTAAAATTTTCAACAAATTGCAACATGTATTCACATAATATTAACAAAAAATTGCTTTGAGCCCGAACAGTAAACCAAATAACGGGGCAGGTGGAATTAAACCGAGATAGAAAAATAAAATTACATTTTAAATGCGATTTTCAAGCCTATTCATACCAGTACCATATTATCAGCTAAGTGTCTACATCTTTCGACCACTATTAAAATAAGGTTCCTTTATGAATATTCTTGTTTTGAACAGATTCCTGCTTCAGAACACCAACACTGTCGCCACCTTTCCTCCCCAAGAGGTACTAAGGATTTATAAGTTTGTTCCCATAAGTAAAGGCCAAATTATATTCGAAATCCTAATGTAAAGAATGTCATATTCAAGAAACGGTATCAATATTTCCAAAACATGTTGATCAAAACGAAAAGTTGAAATAAAATGCCACCTTACCGGGTGTCGAAATCGAAAAAATGTATCTTCGGAGTTTATAAAGATATTAATTTAAAAATGTGTACATCCATCACTAACAGCATAATCAATGAATAGATACAAAGATTCTGTACCTAAGACTGGGTACACCAGTGATGTAGAAATTGGAAAATAGTCACCCCAACAGAAGTAAGAAACATTTTCTGTGCCATTGCTTTTTTGGATATGCATTACATTTTTGAATAAGGTATCCAATTATATATAAATCGCGAGCCTTGAAAAGTTTTTCTTATACTACTTTTTTTTCGAGTAAGATTGGTTTGAATATTTGAGATGAAATTCGGGTAAAATACTTCAAACTTTCTTGAAAATATGCCGAAGTGAAGTTTGCCAAATGTATGCTTTTTTAGTGTTAAGCCGGTAATTCTATCTCACCATATAGCTTTGTTTGAATATATAATAATCAAAATTTACAACACCCTTTACCTTAATTTTTCGTTATTTTTGGATGTATTTTCTCTAGAAATGTACTCTAAAATACCAAGCTACTGAGAGCGCTAAAAAGTAGTAGAATTTATACCCAGTTGGTCCAATTCATCTCAACTTCCCATAGTTAGTAGGTAGAGCTGAAAAAACAGACTGACAGATCTCTCTCTTTGGAGCCATGCTTAACAAAAATAAAAAGGTTATTTAGAGACACCAGCCTTTTTTGTTTCTCCGACCGAATAAACACTAAATTTGGGTTGTAAATGATATAATTGAGATTAAAAATGCCCGCAAATGGGTTAGTTACAGAATATTTGTTGATATTATTTAGGTTTTAAAAGGCTTAAGTACGTTCTTAATCATCACATTTGCAGAATGGAATGGATCCTATACATAACTTGACGTTGCCATATTGTAGAAAAATAAAAAAATCAAGGAAAATACGCATTTCCACGTGTAGCAGCTCTCATTTTACACTAGAATTTGTTCCCCTTTAAGTCACGACACGCGTCTATTTCACGTTATGTAGGTCTTTGGAGCCATACATAAAAATCAAAAGTTATTGACTATATCCATAAACACGAAAACCTATGAAATGATAAAATCTGCCAACATCGCTAAACCTATGAAAACAAACATTCAATAAAAATCTGTTATATAGTAAAATATTTAAGAACTCTTACATTTGCGCTCATTTTCAGTCCTCCATCTACACCCAAAAAACTATATCTTCATAAAAAAACAGCTGTCGTAGCTAAGCTAAGAGAATTACCAACAAAAATAACACTCTTGCATATTCCTAATCTTTGTTATTAGTAAGAGAAAATTCAAATATCCAATGGGGTATTTTTCGCTTGTGGGAATTTGTGACATACTCGTATAATGCAAACCAGGTACGCTAACAAACCCAAACCGCAGACCCTTACTACTGCCCAAACCGTTACTACTTCTGCCACCTATTAGAGATTAGCAAAAGCTCAAAAATGTTAGAGGGGAATACGGTTATTTGCACATGTAGCTAGATGCGATACAGGCCTAACGTTTCAAGGACGCGGTAGTTAAACCTAACCTCACATCAAACTCTTGAACTTCCGTCATTTGTTTTTCAGGGTCAGCAAAAGTTACAATAATTCATTGCACACTCATTTTTAGAAATGTATCGTAATAGTGCCATATTGCCGAAATGAATGAGGTCGCAAGGTAAGATTCGATATGCTTGCATAACAGCATCAAAGCGATTTCGAAAATATAACATATCAGCAGTTTTATTGTACCTGCTAGATTAATACCGTAGATTAGATAAGAAATAACAATCAGATTATTGATGTCTAGCGTCGTTGATCTAATTTTTTTATATGTTTTTATCAGTGACTTCAAAACTCCGATTCGAAACAAATGAAGTCTATACCCCGGGTCATACTATGTGCAACAGGACTAGTATCTGTCTCTATTTTATTCCTGATAACTATGCCAGTTGAAAGAGAAGGTAAGGCAATTGATTTTTTTATGAATTGTTTTTCAAATTATGTCTGAAGAAGTTCCAATATAATCATAATTTTATATGTCATATATTTTGCTCAAATGGATTATTTTATAGGCTTGAATAGGTACCTATGGCAAAAATGTTCTATTTTTCCATGTGTTCAAATTTTTACTTCCCATGCCACTGGGTGAGAAGTATTGCAATTTTGCTTATGACATGAATTTGTAGATGATCTATCAATGCTATTTGTCAGATTTTTGTAATTTTCACAACTGATCATGAAAGCAATACTTCATCACTAATTGGCACAAGAAGTAGATTCTTCAAAAAAAGGTTTGGCACCCTGTATCTTGGGAACAAACCTGTACCAAATCTATGTTTTTGAGCATTTTTTATTATAATCATCCCTTTGAAATTTGGCCAGGTACTTCATTAACACCCTGTATAAATATATTATTCTGCAATGTTAAAAATTACATTTGCTGTTTATTCCATCACAATTGAGCTAACTATTAAATGCATATAAGTGACAAAAGTAAATTTCTAGCTATTCATCATAGCGTGGCTGGTAAACTTAAATCATAATGTAGCATACTCAGTAGATGCCTGGGCGTCAAATCCTACAAACACCTTTTTCCCCAAATTCTTTTAACCTGTTTTCAATGCAATTTGTTACATCTAGTGAGATTAAACCGTGGCGATTTTTTTTTTGCAGTTTGGTAAATATCATTTATGGTGCATATTGCAGAATGCAATGCCTGTGTGATTGGATTTTTTTATGTTCAGCTAATATTATCTATTCATTGGTCATTTGGAAACGTACAGATTTGTCTATTTTATGTAAATGAAATCACATTTTTGAAATACCATGGGCTAGCAAAAAAAATCTTTATAGAAATATAACCTCATATATCGTTTGTGAATGATTAAAACTGAGAAAACTTGTATCCATTAAATCCATTTTAATCATTTTGCTTTTACTGCGGACTAGCATTCCACGTGTTGCACATTATTAGCACACACATCCTCACTATGCACCTATGCTAGAGCTATAACATACAACCTACAGCTTATACCTCCAATAATGCCATCTCTGAAGCACATGTTACAACACATCAGAGCCAAACATTGATAGCTGAAGTATCATGATGTTTAAGCAACACATACATCAGAACAGAATGAGTCCACAAAAGGTGTACAACAGCTAGTGCTAAGTTGACATCTTGTGGAAAACCTACATAATGCCTCAAAAAACGTATATAATGTCAAAAAAAAACCGATATAATGTCGCTTTTTCAGATATGTAATACCACTGCAGATCTCCCAGCAGACATTCGTCAGAAAATTTCTGACTAAAGGGCTGCAATTAAGCAAGCGAAGAGGTCTTGTCACCCAGATGACATTCACAGAGCAACGAATCTTGTTCATGAAGTGAGAAATGCTCTTTATGAATTCCGTAATGAGCAATGGAGCAACTTTCTGTCGGGGATGCTTGACTCAAGTATTCCTCTCAGAAACGGAAAGCGAGTACAACTCCCGCACATCCACGGTCCTAGGGGCATAGTCTGTAGGACAGAGGAAAAGGTCGAGGTTTTCGCTGATGCAATGGAAAGTCAGTCCCAACTATGACCTTGGCTCGACAAGGAGCAACATATTGTAAGATCCGTCAGGACATATTTTAGGGCCAACGGCGTCAGTGGCAGTAGTGCCTCCGTTAGTGATTTTTCCTCAGAGGAATCTTCAGAAGATTCCTCAACTGAAGAGCTGCATAGCACATCAGCGGAATATCCTGAGACTCCGCTTTGCACACCAGCAGAGCTTCAAGGTCATATTAAAGACCTCAATGTGCGTAAAGCACCTGGAGAGGATCGAATCACTAATAAAGCGCTGAAGCTACTTTCGCGGAAGTCCGTAACTTATCTCGTGGCAATAATCAATGCCATGCTAAGGACCCAGCACTTTCCAACGGCGTTGAAGACCGCTGATGTCATAATGATTCCAAAGAAGGTGGGTTCGATATTCCCCCAGGATTACCGCCCCATAGTTTACTGTCAGCTCCATCTAAGCTCGCTGAAAAGGTGATTCTATGTCACCTTGAAAATTTCTCTTCAGACCACAATGTGATTTCTGACGTGGACGAGGTATTGGACTGGGCGAATCGGTGGCGGATCAAAATTAATCATTCGAAAACGAAAAAACGTAGCAGCACCCTGTCTGAGGTTTCAGTGAATGGAGCTCGGGTACCATGGGAAAGCTCTGCTAAGTATCTCGGTGTCACTCTTCACAAGGGGATGACCTGGCAGAAGCACACTGAAGCGTTAAAAACTAAATTCCAAATCTCGTTTCGGCAACTCTACCCTATGCTATGTAGAACATCCAAATTAAGTTTGATCAACAAGGTTCGGCTATACAAGATGGTTATTAGACCAGCGATCACTTACGCAAGTGCGGCTTGGTGTTTTCTCGCCAAAACGCATTTGCGTAGCCTGCAGGTTTTGCAGAACAGAACCTTACGTACAATCACTAACGCCCCATGGTATGTTTCCAACGAAACCCTTTACAGCAACCTTGACATCCTTTGCCTAATTGCATACAACCCTTTGTTGCGTGAGTCAGTAGACTACACAGTCGAGCAAGTTCGCAATCACACAAGGCCGCGACTCGCACTGTGAACAAAATTAAATCGAGCGACTTTAGGTCCAACCAAAATTATAATTTTTCTTCGACAACCAATCCCAAAATTAATTTTAGGATCAATTTAAAATTTCCGAATACTAATTAGCAATGCCCCCCTCAAATTGACGCACTTCTTTTTTCTTTGCCCTCCCTCCTTCCTTCCTTTCTTCTTCCCTTCTTTCTCCCTGACTTTGTTTGGTATCTGGGCAACCAGACATGACAGACCTACTGACTTACAAGACTTTAACCAAGAGCAAAGGTCCTACGGACCGCTCTATCAGGCAAGACGAATAGAAGACCACTGCAGAATGAACTGTTTGCACACTAGCCTACCTAGTCAACAAGTTGACATTTTAGTTTTTTACGTAATAATCCTGCATAGATCTTTAAGCAAATTCGTTATCAATAATTTTTTTAAGCTTCAGAGTGGTGCAATATGATTTCATAGTCCACTCAACTTTTAGAAGTTCATATTGTATTATTAATCGTTCGTTTTTTTGAATGAAAAACCTTATAGTCCTGTTCATACAGCAGTCGCTAATCTGTCAGCGCCTCACAGATTCCGTTTTGCTGTGCTTCGATTTACAGATAGTCAGAATTCATACGACCGGATCCCAAACACAGTCACCGACCGTTGTACGAAAAAACCTACAATCTTAAAAATGTAACATCGCATTTCTCACATACTTTTTATCCGCTATTTAGGGTAGTCATTATAATCCAATATTTTTTGTATTCAGTGATATATTTAGAATGATTGCTTGAGTATCTTTGAACAATCAACATTTATATGCTAAATTTATAAAAGCCTATTATTCAGTAGGTGGTGATTAGTGCACTTCAGGGGCGATGCACTGGATTTCCTCGCACTTTTTGGGTTTTCAATAAGTATACCTGTATGTATAGTAAAAATGACTAGTTTTAACAGTCCTTTACTGAGATGGAATATTTCACCCAAAATAATTGTAAGTCGTGCACAGTCTAATCGATGAAAAATTCCAAAATAAACACGCAAGTTTGCGATAGTGAAAGGCTCTCCCCACATGACCTATTCGCATTATTTAACCCCCTAACCAAATAACCCGCCATTAGATAATCAATAAGGTCGGCATCTGATATGTAATATACTATACATTATTAAATTTAATCGCACCTTAGTTATGCAAGGGAGTTGAGTGCGTGGTTTTGAATTGATTTGTAATATGCAGGGTGTTTCCTGGACATGGTACTATAAGTCAATTGAACATTTCTTGGCTATTTCTGATTTTCGGAAAAACGCTTCGTTTCGAAGATAACGGCTCAACATTTTTTTATTATTAGTGTATAGCAAACTTAAAGTGGAATTTCGCTCGATGAAAACAGTTGTATAGTGTGTATTGAACACCTTGGCAGGTCTTCGACTTTCAAACTTGGTGTGAAAGTTCAGGAATTATGTAATTATTCGGCCATATTTTTCTCGCTGGCCTAAGTCTCCAGAGAATCGCTTAGAATAGAGAAACTGAGTGTTGGAATCCTTATAAGTATGAATAATTCAGTCAACCGTTCTCTGGTAGTTGAACAGTTTTTTTTTCTGTTAGATCATCATAAGATGACATAGAACACGTCAATGGAAATAACAGAGTAAAATATATGCAAAAAATAAGTAGATAATACGCATTAGTGTCAAACAGTCAAAATTGAACAAACATTGAAAAAACGTGGTAGATACAGATTAAAATATGGCTATGTTTAGATTATATAAATAAATTAGATAAAATTCAAAAAACATAGAATATAAAAATAAATAGGTAATTGCTGAAATTGAGATATAGGATATCACACACTATTATAAACCGTATTGTCAGAGCTACTCCTACTGGATGTTTATCAGAGTATTTGACAAGTACTCATTCAAACAGTAATATGCTTAACTTTTTAATAAAGCCTTAATTTCATGTTTGAAAATAGTGAGTGGCAGTGCCCTGAGGGTGTTTGGCAATTTGTTGAACAACCTAACACTCATTTGATCCGGACTGCATTCTGCTCTAGAGAATCTTTGCGTGGAAACCTATAGGACAAGCGAATTTCTTGTTAACTACCTGTTATGGTCGTTCAGCTTCGGAAAATCATCCAATGCTCGAAAATATATATGGATGGCAAAGTTAGAATTCCCAGCTGTTTGAAAGAAGGTCTACAGCTAGACCAAGTAACTGAACAGTCACTTGAACATGAACAGCTATTTTTATCATACTGTACAGTTTTTCTTCATTTTGTATTCTCATTTACATGTTGTGTAAATATCTACCGATTCATAACTTGCAGACTAGATGATAAAAATCTGAAAATAT